GAACGGACCATGCAAGGACAGCTGTTCACAGGATGAGCTGAAAACAAGAAAGCAGAGTGTACCGCCCTGTTCGGCTTCACCTGGGAACGTGTGCATCCGGCACCTCAGCATTTTTTTTTTGCTGCTTTGTGAGTGTCCATGGAAGGACTATAGAAGCACCACAAGTACTAATTGTGGGGGGTTACAAATACACTTTAGCAACCAGGCAAATTTACAGATACAGAATCTGAATAATGAGGATCAGCTGTATTTGGGAATAAGTTGTTTTCACCACTGATTTAACTTAGAGGGGCAGTGAACTTAAATAATATTTACTTATTTTATAAGAAATCAGTGTCCCATAGGCCAGCTTCTCTTCACTGTTTCCCAGTCCTACCACGAGTAAAGCTGAGGCTCCAGCTCTTGTTTCACCATCGAGGAAATGGGTACCGGGTCTTGAAACTAGTGAACAGCGGAGTCAGGGCTGCGGTCTGATTCCCACGAGGGGCCTGCCTCTCTCGGTCCCCATCACGCCCCCCGACGTGCTGAGGGTTGTGGCACTGTGCTCATGCTAGAACGAGCACACTTGGACATCACCGCCCAAGAGCGCAGTACTCCTTCAACCACCGGCACAAACATCGTGGGTAGCATTAGCCCGCTTTTTAGGTAGGACCTTAGTCAAGAGATTACTGTGTTTTGTGTAATGGTATTTTGAAAGGTTTGGGAAATAACCCAGAATCTAATCCTAGGTCTATTTTCAATCATCCCGACAAACGGATAACCAGCTACTCTGGGGCCAGGCGGTACCAGACCTGGGGGTACAGCCTGACCTGGCCAGGGACACCACCGATTGCCCAGTGGTAATGTGATAACTGCCAGAATGAGAAGCAGAGAAAGTGATTAATTAAGAGCGTCCCAAACAGTCATTAAATCCTGTAGAGGGAGACTTGGGACGGGGTTGGAGGAAGCGCCCTCAGCCCCTGGGCCTAAACGGCCAGCCACCTCGCACAGCCAAGTGTGGCGACCAGGAGCCCTCCCAGCAGCTTCTGGTCATAATGTGGTGTCCCCGCCAGTTTCCGGGGGCGCTAGTCAGAGAAAGCAAGTATTGGGCCCTGAAGGACATTCTCACTGCGCACGATCAACATCCTGGCTTCGGATCGGTCTCATCTGAGTTTGGTCACCCTGGCGATTGAGCGCTGCCATGTGCCGGACAGCATTGCGAAGGCTAGAGACCTGCTCATCGATAAAGAAAGAGCACACATCCTGCCTGTGTGTGGCAGCAGGACCTCGCGTGATTCGGCCCTTCAGCTCAGAGTCAGGTCCTAGAAGGGACTGGCCGCTTTCTGAGATGCTGCCAGGCTGGGAGCTGCAGACACCTGCTCTGTTTGCATCAAGGTTAGCCTGCTGCTGAGGGAAGGAGACGTTGTGTTTTGTGTAAAAGTGACTGTGAATCAGACCCTTGATTTCACTGCCTATTCCATTCTAAGTAACAGCAAAATCCTGTAGTTTTTCCCACAGGCATGTATTAGGTCACTTTGTGCATACATGACTCTGGCTGTCACCCAGTGTGCGAGCACCTCGTCATGCTGAGCACATCAGGCCATCACATCTATATGGAAACGACTGATACCAGGCATTTTCCTAGAAATAGTTTCTCTCTCTCTCTTTTAAAGATTTTATTTATTTTAGAGAGAGAGCAAGCAGGGGGGAGGGGCAGAGGGAGAGGGAGACTCTCAAGCCGACTCCTCACTGAGCGCGGAGCCCAGTGTGGGCCTTGATCCCAGGACCCTGAGATCATGACATGAGCCGAAACCAAGAGTCGGGCGCTCAACTGGCTGAGCCATACAGGCGTCCCTAGAAATAGTTTTGTCTTAATAAAAGGTCCCTTGGAGCTTGTTCTTTTCGTTTTCTCTAGTATTTGGGTTTCTAACCTAACTTAAGCGTGTCTTTGTTACACCATTTAAATCCAGCAACAGAGCTAACGGAAAGGAATCCTTTCGAGTAACTTTGTATTTTGTCTTTTGTGTGAGTTTTCACATTAGGGCATCTGATTTACAGTGGAAACATTGCTGAGGCTTCACATAGTCAGACTTTCCAGGTCCCCTGGGCTGGACCTGTCTGGTCATCTGTGTTCTGTGTGCCCCACTCCGGTCCCGAGAGATTGGGTACGACCTCAGGTCACTGTTGGATTGAGGAACAGGTGTGTGCTTGAAACACCTGGCGCAGCCGTACTTCCGATGGCACAGACAGGCCGCGTGCGGAAGTAACGTGGATTGTTGCCTCTGTGATTTTTCTACAATCCAGTCTGCTCTTTGCTTCTAGATCTGAACTTAACAGGTATTTACTACTAAAACAAGGGCAGAAATAAAGATTGGGGACATGTGGCATTTACTGGAGTTGGGGTGGGTGTGAGGTAATATCTGTGGAGGGTCTGTTGTATCTGGTATTTCAGTGCAAGATGCTGTGTGCACTCTTTTTTAACTCGTCATCCTATGAATAGGGGTGTCCCCACTTGAAGTGGGGAGCAGGGAGGTAGTAGGTGTAGAGTGCTGGCTATGGGCCGGTATCTGCAACCCCTTTTAACAGTAACGGAGAGGAGCTGTGATCCCCATTTTACGTATGAGGAAGACAAGACGTGGAAAGATTGAGTCATGTAGAGATTACCTGGGGCCCATGATTTGTCAGGAAAGGGCCAGGACCGCAGGTGCCAGCAGGGAAATGAGGCCTCATTCCTCATGGAGCTCATGTTCCAGGGTGTGTATAAGGAGCCACCCAGTGAGCAGGATGATGTGAGAGAGGAACGAGGAGGGGGAGCAGGGAGACCCGGTGAGCAGTCTGTCCGTGGCTCATAAGCAGTGAGTGTAGCCCCAGTCTGTCTGCCCACAAGCTAGCTTCCGCACTCTCCCGTGTTCTGGGACCGTCCCCACAGCCCAGTCCCGTCACCAGCCAGCCACTGTGTAAGCCCGTGGTGCTCTGCTGGACGTGTGTGTTTACTGAGAAATGCATTTGTGTGTGTGAGCGCATTGCACCTGTTGGCGTGAATACATACATATGTTTTTTCTTGGAAGGACATTCTCACTGCGCACTATCAACATCCTGGCTTCGGATCGGTCTCATCTGAGTTTGGTCACCCTGGCGATTGAGCGCTGCCATGTGCCGGACAGCATTGCGAAGGCTAGAGACCTGCTCATCGATAAAGAAAGAGCACACATCCTGCCTGTGTGTGGCAGCAGGACCTCGCGTGATTCGGCCCTTCAGCTCAGAGTCAGGTCCTAGAAGGGACTGGCCGCTTTCTGAGATGCTGCCAGGCTGGGAGCTGCAGACACCTGCTCTGTTTGCATCAAGGTTAGCCTGCTGCTGAGGGAAGGAGACGTTGTGTTTTGTGTAAAAGTGACTGTGAATCAGACCCTTGATTTCACTGCCTATTCCATTCTAAGTAACAGCAAAATCCTGTAGTTTTTCCCACAGGCATGTATTAGGTCACTTTGTGCATACATGACTCTGGCTGTCACCCAGTGTGCGAGCACCTCGTCATGCTGAGCACATCAGGCCATCACATCTATATGGAAACGACTGATACCAGGCATTTTCCTAGAAATAGTTTCTCTCTCTCTCTTTTAAAGATTTTATTTATTTTAGAGAGAGAGCAAGCAGGGGGGAGGGGCAGAGGGAGAGGGAGACTCTCAAGCCGACTCCTCACTGAGCGCGGAGCCCAGTGTGGGCCTTGATCCCAGGACCCTGAGATCATGACATGAGCCGAAACCAAGAGTCGGGCGCTCAACTGGCTGAGCCATACAGGCGTCCCTAGAAATAGTTTTGTCTTAATAAAAGGTCCCTTGGAGCTTGTTCTTTTCGTTTTCTCTAGTATTTGGGTTTCTAACCTAACTTAAGCGTGTCTTTGTTACACCATTTAAATCCAGCAACAGAGCTAACGGAAAGGAATCCTTTCGAGTAACTTTGTATTTTGTCTTTTGTGTGAGTTTTCACATTAGGGCATCTGATTTACAGTGGAAACATTGCTGAGGCTTCAGATAGTCAGACTTTCCAGGTCCCCTGGGCTGGACCTGTCTGGTCATCTGTGTTCTGTGTGCCCCACTCCGGTCCCGAGAGATTGGGTACGACCTCAGGTCACTGTTGGATTGAGGAACAGGTGTGTGCTTGAAACACCTGGCGCAGCCGTACTTCCGATGGCACAGACAGGCCGCGTGCGGAAGTAACGTGGATTGTTGCCTCTGTGATTTTTCTACAATCCAGTCTGCTCTTTGCTTCTAGATCTGAACTTAACAGGTATTTACTACTAAAACAAGGGCAGAAATAAAGATTGGGGACATGTGGCATTTACTGGAGTTGGGGTGGGTGTGAGGTAATATCTGTGGAGGGTCTGTTGTATCTGGTATTTCAGTGCAAGATGCTGTGTGCACTCTTTTTTAACTCGTCATCCTATGAATAGGGGTGTCCCCACTTGAAGTGGGGAGCAGGGAGGTAGTAGGTGTAGAGTGCTGGCTATGGGCCGGTATCTGCAACCCCTTTTAACAGTAACGGAGAGGAGCTGTGATCCCCATTTTACGTATGAGGAAGACAAGACGTGGAAAGATTGAGTCATGTAGAGATTACCTGGGGCCCATGATTTGTCAGGAAAGGGCCAGGACCGCAGGTGCCAGCAGGGAAATGAGGCCTCATTCCTCATGGAGCTCATGTTCCAGGGTGTGTATAAGGAGCCACCCAGTGAGCAGGATGATGTGAGAGAGGAACGAGGAGGGGGAGCAGGGAGACCCGGTGAGCAGTCTGTCCGTGGCTCATAAGCAGTGAGTGTAGCCCCAGTCTGTCTGCCCACAAGCTAGCTTCCGCACTCTCCCGTGTTCTGGGACCGTCCCCACAGCCCAGTCCCGTCACCAGCCAGCCACTGTGTAAGCCCGTGGTGCTCTGCTGGACATGTGTGTTTACTGAGAAATGCATTTGTGTGTGTGAGCGCATTGCACCTGTTGGCGTGAATACATACATATGTTTTTTCTTGCTTTCAGCTGATACTGAAGATGTGTGCATTGTAGAAAGATTGTTTTCAAGCAGCTTAGTGGCCATCGTTAGCCTCAAAGCTCCTAGGAAGCTCAAAGTTTGCCACTTTAAGAAAGGAACCGAGATCTGCAACTACAGCTACTCGAATACCATCCTGGCTGTGAAGCTGAACAGGCAGGTGAGTGACACTCGACCCAGACTGCCAGGTGCTCTGTCCGTGTCTCACTGTTCAGACACTGTCCGTGTCTGACAGCCCTTGGCTGTCACTGCCATTGCAGTTTCCTGCAGTGGTCTAGGAAAGCTGACAGTCCCGGTCCCCGAGCCCTTGGCCCCGGCACCGCTCACCTCACACCACCTCCCCGACTCAACTCTGTTTTCTCAGCAGTTTGCTCAAAGCACGCCGTCCCTTGCTCTCACCAGGCTAAGTTTTCCTCATCCATCGAGACACGAGCCGTAGCATTTCTCTGTATACCGTATGCTCATCCATAGAGCTGTGTCATGGTTTATTCACCTTCTCTCGCTTTTGTAGGTGTTACTTTGAAAAAGTCTGCTAGCATCATTTTCCCGTTTTCTTCTTAATTTCTCTTTTAAACTTTACTTTTAAGGTGACTTACTCCCTTTTTTTTTTTTTTATCTTCCCCAAACTCACAAGTATGTCTGGCACAGAGTATGGACTTGGTGGCTAGCACTTGAGTTTATTTCATGAGAGCACCTCATGGCTTTTGCTTCCCCACAAAATGTAACACCGCCCCGAAGATCCTTTAGCTTTTCTGTGACAAGCGCATGTTCCACGCAGGGAAAGCTAATGAAGTTGGTGGATGTGAGACGCACGTCACCACGGTGGGGGTGGGGGTGGGGGGCCCGCAGTGTGCTGGCTGAGTAGATGGTTGCGGTGGAGGCCTGCTGGGATTGCTCTGTGAACTGAAGGACATGGTTACAGTGGGAAATTATAAGGCATAACATGTTGAACATTCTTTAAACGTAAAACATACACGTGTACATTCACGCACCAACTAACGTGGCGCTGCATGCATGCCAAGTTGTCTTTCTTGCATGAACCATCCCCTTGGTGCATCGGCTACAAGTACATTCCTCTTTAAAGTGGAGTGTGAACTTAGACACCTGCAAATAATGCGAGCACAGCATGAGTTTTGAGACTTTAGAAACCCCTAGGCTTTTATTTTCGTCTTGCCATGCTTCATTCAGCATGGGTTTTTGAAAGCAACTGACCCTTACCAGATGTGTCCAAGGCACTTACTCTGATTTTCATGAGGGGAGGGTGAACAAAAACAAACTGAAAACACAAACCGTACCTTCCTTAGCTATAGTTTACCAGTTTCTGCAGTCGCGCACTCGATCGCGTGGCTGGAGGGCCCGGTACAGTTGGCAGAAGTGGTTGTGGGAGCAGACACAGCCGGTGTGGACACTCCTGGGTTGGTAGCTGAAGCACACGGCGCTGCAGGAAAGCGGCCTGGTCACAGCCAGGGTCCACTGGGCCGCGCGTGTCCAGTCTGCCTGGTGTTCTGGAAGGAGCCGGGGGCGTCTTCCGCCAGCAGTCGATTAAGTAAAGATGGGAGCAAGGATCGTATTGGCTCTTGATGTTTGGTTTTCTGTTTCTTCTCTCTTTCCTAGCGGCTAATAGTATGCCTGGAGGAGTCTCTCTATATACACAACATTCGGGACATGAAAGTCCTGCACACGATCAGGGAGACCCCTCCCAACCCTGCAGGTAAGCTCACTGTGGGAAGAACGTTCACTTTTCTGACTCTACCTTTTAAAGATAAGCTATTTTCTCCTTGTAGGTTCCACCGGGATAGATGGCTTTTGAAAGTATTGATCTTAAACCAGGCAAGCTACCTTCCTTCTGCTGCTGGTCTAGTGATCACATAAATCATTGGTTTCGTCAGCTTCCAATTCTGAGGCTGCTGATCAGTTCCCACCATGGCCTTCAGCCTGTTTTTATAACCCTCCTGTCCCCTGAGGAGGTGGTTTGGGGGTGTGGCACTTGAAACAGACCAGCACAGCAGCTCCCGAGGCTGTGTCTGAGCCCCTTTGCTTTCTCCAGTCTCTGTTGGGCAGATGCTAACTTGCGTGTAGCAACTAAACGGGAACCCCTCTGGACCCAACTCTCTGTGTTTGCCTCCTTGTGTTACCACAGGCTTGTGTGCACTGTCCATACACAATGACAATGGTTACTTGGCGTACCCAGGCAGTGCCACCATCGGAGAGGTGCAGGTCTTCGACACCATGAACTTGGTGAGACTCCTTCTATACCGGGGTCCCTCTCGCCAGTGTCCCCGCTCTCTGCAACAAGCACGTGGCGCCATTGGTGTCCGCCTTTCCCTGGCTCAGCAAGGCGGGTTTCACTGCCACCTTCTTAATGGCAGAGCAGGTCTGGGCGACCTCTGCAGATTTCTGCCCGTGCTACCACGGCGCAGAGCTCCCGGCAGTATGGCTGTTTGGAGGAATGGAGGGAGCTCTAAAGACTTCATGGATCCAGTGCTTGGCTTTCTGGAAGGTTTCGAGCAGCATTTCCTCGGGCCCCTCCCCCAGTAATTCCGGTGCATGCGGTTCTCGTATTGACTGGGATGGGGTTTTAGTCACAGCCACTTGGCACTTCAGCCTGAGGACCAGTGGCGGTGTGGGGTGCGGTCTCGCGCGTGGCGGCCACGTCACATTGGTTTTGCCTTCCAGAGAGCTGCGAACATGATCCCAGCTCACGACAGTCCTTTGGCAGCGCTGGCATTTGACTCCAGTGGAACCAAGCTCGCCACTGCCTCGGAGAAGGTGCGTCTGTTGCGGCCCGGTAGGAAACTGGCTCGGGGGTTCGGCGCGCTTCCACTCACACAGCCAGGGCACCACACGAGTTTCTGTGCCGACCGGCTCCCAGAGAAGCACACGTAGCTCCCCGCTTGGAGTGCGCTCTCTGCCGCCGGAGCACCCATGTTCGGGATGGGTGCGCAGAATCGTGCAGAGGAGGCGTGCGTGTGTAAGCAGCACCCCTGGCCGGTGTGCTTCTCGGGGACGCACTAGCGTGTGCCGTGCCACACACATACTTCTGGCCAGGGCAGGTGTGAACACATTTCCGTGTGTTTCCTTTTCTTCTTTTTCTGTTACTTAACAAAATTGTGATCATACCATACGTGTAATTTACTGTTGCCTTTCACTCTGCATAATATTAGATTTCTCGAAGTTAAAAAACACTTCTAATGGCTGTACAGTATTCAGTCGTGGTTTACTTGAACGTTGCCCTTTGGGGACGTTTATATTGTTCCTAACGTTTAGATTGCAATAATGTAATAACATTTGGAATATAGATAATTCTTACATATAAATCTTTTTTTTCTGCATCTTTATTCACTTAAGAGATTCCAGTGAGTGGGTGCCTCGGCTCAGTTGGTTGAGCATCTGACTCTTGATTTCGGCTCAAGTCATGATCTCGGTCGTGAGATCGAGCTCCATGTTGGGCTCCATACTGGGCGAAGAGCCTGCTTAAGATTCTCTCTCTTCTTCTACCCCTCCCCCCGACAAAAGAAAGAGAGAGAGAGTCCAACGGGCAGGCTTTCTGGGTTAAAAGGATGTGGTCTTTTTAAAGTTCTCTCCACGTAGGACAAAGTGACTTTGGCCTTCCCTCCAGCTTCCATGACAGCAAAGGGTCCTCACTCTCTTCCAGGCGTGGCTGCTACATCTTGTTCCTTTGCTGCTCCTCTCATCTCGATAATCCCCGCTCTCTGGCCTTGCTCTTGACGATCTCATTTGTTCTGGCTTGTTCCTCTCCTCCGGACACCAGTACCGGCTTTTCAGTTGCCTAGTTTTGTTTTGATGCTCTCTCACTAAAAAAACACCTACAGTAGCCTCCCTCCTGTTGCCTCTCCCCTTGGCCCACTCAACCAAATAAGATCTGAGAAAAGTCAACTCACTCCAGCTTTCCTGCGTGGGTCTCTGTGCTTGCCTGTCATCCGAGTTTCTGTAAGAAGAGTGCTGCCGTCTGTGATCACTTAGTCCTCGGGAATACAGATCCTTTACATTCATGATCCCATTCCTTCCCGTCAGCAAGGTAAACACTTTCTCATTTCATATCAGGGGCTTAGAGACGTTAAATAATTTGCTCAGTCACCAAGTTGGGCAACGACAGAGGCTTGGACTCTAAGCCTGACTTTGCTTTTAAATACCACTGGCTGATGACACTTCCGCATTGTCCGTTTCTACCGAAGTGGCCGTGAGATTCTGTTACGCCTTGGTTAATAGTCTCAGCTCCGTAGCTTTCATTAGGTCCTGGAAGCTCCCTAAAGCACTTTGTGGAATCTCAAGGCCATTAGAAATAGAACGATTTGGGGCTCCTGGGTGGCTCAGTCGTTGGGCGTCTGCCTTCGGCTCAGGTCTGGTCCCAGGGTCCTGGGATCGAGCCCCGCATCGGGCTCCCTGCTCGGCGGGAGGCCTGCTTCTCCCTCTCCCACTCCCCCTGCTTGTGTTCCCTCTCTCGCTGTGTCTCTCTCTGTCAAATGAATGAAATCTTAAAAAAAAAAAAAAAAAAAAAGGAATAGAACGATTTTTTTTCCCTGGGCTAGGAAGAGCAATCTTTTGATTTGTTTTTAACCCCCCAGTGGCCTCCCCCATCCTGCTGGGTGCTGGGGCCGTGCCTAGGTATATGCTTAGTCCTGCTTTCAGGGAGCGCAACCAGGCTGGGACCAGCAGCCCTCGGTAACTAGTATTATGCACTAGATAAGCCAGTAAAAAAAAAATCTCTAAATCAGAAAGTTGAGACTACAAAGGATCAAATCTTCACTGTGGTTATTTTGGTATGTGATTGTGCTGTTTTATCCTTCTAATTCTCAAGAATTACAAACTCATTTGGTATCCTTTTATCCAGAGAGAATCATTGTCTTTAAAAAACATTTTATTTTAGGGGCGCCTGGGTGGCTCAGTCGTTAAGCGTCTGCCTTCGGCTCAGGTCATGATCCCAGGGTCCTGGGATCGAGCCCCGCATCGGGCTCCCTGCTCGGCTGGAATCCTGCTTCTCCCTCTCCCGACCCCCCCTGCTTGTGTTCCCTCTCTCGCTGTGCCTCTCTCTGTCAAATAAATAAATAAAATCTTAAAAAAAAAAAACAAAACATTTTATTTTAAAGATTTATTTTGGAGAGCAAAAGAGAGAGAGAGTGTGTGCCTGCACGCAGGTGAGGGGCGGGGCAGGGGGTGGTCCTCCTGCTGAGCACGGGGCCTGACTCGGGGCTCCATCCTACGACCCTGAGATCATGACCTGAGCCGAAATCAAGAGTTGAACACTTAACGACTTAGCCACCCTAGCGCCCCTTTTAAATAACATTTTAAAGAAAGTTCCTGGTGTTCTATAATTAGGTTGTTTATAGTTTATGTCCGATATTATTAACAGTTTTTATACTAAACAGTTTGAACCTTCCAAAATGTGTCAGGTTACACGTTCCTGCCCCGCGAATTTGAAATACTGCCTGTTTTCAGGTTTTCCATTATGTTCTAGGAGTCTCTTTCTTGTTGTGCTATTTTATTACTGTAGCTTGCTAGTATTCTTTTAACATTTCGTTGTTGAAAGTCCCATTTGTGTTCACTTTCTGGGCTGTTCTCTCTTACTCTCCCAGATGTCCAAGTCCTGTCTCTCCAGCCACAAAGGCCCTGTTACTTTGGAGGAGGCAGGGCTGGGGGGTGCGGCAGGGACTCTGGCATCTCCAGAGTGTCTCACCTCTGTGCCGGCAAGGGCAGCAGCTCGTCTGCTCACTCATAGACTCCTCTGCCCGGTCCTGGAAGCCCCCCTGCTCAGTAACTCAGCCTGAAGTACAAGGAAGGATGTCGGGGGTGCTGCAGACCCCTCAGGCCTCAGCTGAGCTAGGTGGTGCCTCCCGACGTGCAGTTGGTGTGTGTGAGGTGAAACATCACGGGACTTAGAAATAACTAGAGCTGTTGGACGTGTGACGTCAAGGCTGTTGGTGTTTGGGAGAAGCAATGAGTCCTGGTGGTGGCTGTATCTAAAGAAAAGAGGAAATGTGCAGTCGGGGGTGGCAGCGGGAACATGTGTTTCCCCCTTGTGTTTCCTTCAGAGTCTCAGGAGAAGGAGACACAGGCTGGGTTTCCTCGGCTACAGTCTTTTTTCTTTCTTTTTCCGCCTGTCACAGGGGACCGTGATTAGGGTATTCTCCATTCCAGAGGGACAAAAACTCTTTGAGTTCCGGAGAGGAGTTAAGAGGTAAGATATGTAAGTCTTCGGAATTGATCTGGAGCTAACATTTGGACTTCAGTTCTCTTTTCTCTGGGTCAACAAGTGGAGACTTAGAGCGGCCCTGGGAACCCTATTTAAATGCATAAGTGCTTTGAACCCAGCTGGGTGGTGAGGGGAGGCTTTAGAGTCCTCCTGAGGGGTAAAGGAACGTTTTTATAAAGCAAACTGGTTTTCCTTTGTCTGTGGTCCCGCCTGAACAGAGGGCAATGGCCGGGCAGCCTGGGAATCAGGAAGAAGTGGCCTGTGGGGCCGCGTGGCTTCCTCCACCTGGTCCGAGGTGGCAGGCCAGTGACTTCCTGACCTGGCCAGCATGCTCCTGTCCTGCTTCTCTGCCCTGAAAACCTGCCCCCGGCTCCCCTCCACCCCGTCACCACTTACCTCCCTGTCCGTCTGCACACCTCCCTTCCTTGACGCCAGCTTCGGAGAAAGGACCGTCCATCCTGCTTAGGCCTGGATCCTCTGCCGCAGGACTGGCTCCGGGGATCTGGTCCCCATTCCAGGGGGGCAGCTGAGAGTACCCACCTCAGGGCGGGAACTGGGCCAGCGGGTGTTCCAGAACTGCCCCCTCCTCTGGGGGCCTCGCACTGTGTCACCGCTCCCTCGCGTCTGCAGGGTCCTTCCCACAGACGGCACACGCGTGCTTTAGGGTGCTAGCTCCTGTACCCCAGCCCCTCCCCATCACTGCCTCCTGTGTTTCTTTCTTTTTTTCCCTTGGTTTTCCTTACACCACACCATTCTAGATTTGTCGTCATTTGTTGTTGCTGCTCCGTTTCCTCTTCCCGTACCTCACTTCTGCCCTGGAGCCTCGCTCATGCTACCCTGTGCAGTCCCCCAGGCCCCTGCGCTGTGGTGTCTGGGTGCTGCTGACTCCTCGCGCATTTGTGTAGCCCAGGCTGCTTTCTGAGCGACCAGCCGGAACGTGCCCATCGTCGCTCGCGTGCCTTATTGGTAAACACTGCCACTGTCATCGACTGGGTCCCTGGGTCAGAGGGGCTCGACACTGGCCCCTTTCTCCCTTCCAGTTAGGTAGCAGGGGTGCCGGCGCCCCGGGTCAGTCCCACCGCCCCCATCCCCCCGGCGCCCCCGCCCGGTTTGGATCGCCACCGTGACCTCTCGTGTGCCTTGGTGTCTGCTGTTGGCCCCTCTGGTCCGTTCTTCAGACTGTTGTCCCCGTTGCTCTTCGAGGGTGTCCGCACAATCGGCACACGCCGTGTGGAGCCTTCAGGGCCCACCTCACGCCGGTAGGGCTGACTCCAGACCCCTGAGCCGGGCCTCCCACGCTCTGCTTTTTCAGCTCTGTCTTCCCCGTCCCTCCTAACTCCTGCCACACCAAACAGTGGTTCCGCCAAGGAGTGACCTGTCTGCATGGGGTCCCCTGTGCTGCTGTCGACACCCGTGCCCGGGCCGACTCCTGAGCCCTTGACGTCTGTGTCGAATGTCTGTGCCTCAGGAAGGCCCCCCCGACCCTCTCGCGGAAACCCCACTTGCCCCCGTGCTCCTCCAGCTCGGCCCCTTTACTTCCGGCATGCCTTCGCTGGCAGCACCTTTACCGTCTGCACCCACCCCTCACTGTGAGCGCCGTCAAAGCAGGAAGCCTCCCTGATTTACCACCAGCGCTTTGTACAAGCCCTCAGGGCAAAACGTGCCTTGTCCTTGTAGGGCTGTGAGGGAACGCACATTTACTGGAGGCTTTGGGATTTTTACAGTGACTTTTAAGATCAACTGTAGAATCTTAGCATGTTCAAAATTTTGCTTTATTCTTAAATGTTATCAAGATTGTCAGTTTCCTTGCACGTCAAGAATTGCTGTAATTATTGGATTTTCTTTTACTAACCTTAGTGCTGTAAATCCAGCCTAATTCAGCCAAAAATGGTGTAATGAAGCTCTCATTCCCTTTGTTATTTGGAATTTCAAAGAAAATTGGCTAAGAAAATATTAAAGAATTGCTCTTAACTTGGTATCACCTTTAAAACATTTCCCTTTCTTTAGAAAAAATTTTGGAAAGCTGTCTGGAGGGGCGCCTGGGTGGCTCAGTTAGTTGAGCGTCTGCCTTCAGCTCGGGTTGTGATCTCGGGGTCCTGGGATCGTGCCCTGTGTTGGGCTCCCTGCTCAGCGGGGAGCCTGCTTCTCCCTCTCCCTCTCCCTCTGCCCTTCCCCCCTCCTCGTGCTCTCACTCTTAAATAAATAAAATCTTTAAAAAAAGAAAGAGAGAAAGAAAAGATGTCTGGAGAGGAATAAGAAAGATACCAGTAGACCCAAGTCTGCCTATTCTGGGAACTTTTCTTCTCTGACTTTTTAAAGTCCCTGGAGAAAGGTTGCTAATCACCGGCACCAGGGTTTGTGGGCAACCGCGTAACTCCAGCCCCCTTCCGCTTGCCGCCAGGTGTGTGAGCATCTGCTCCTTGGCCTTCAGCATGGACAGCATGTTCCTCTCCGCATCCAGCAACACTGAGACTGTGCACATCTTCAAACTCGAGACTGTGAAAGAAAAGTGAGTTGCAAAGACACAGTTGTTTTAAAAAACACAAGGCCCTTCTCCACTGACTGGATGGGAACACCACACAGACACTGTCCTGCCTTTAGTCATTTTTGCCAATAAAGACCCTGGAGCTGGCTGTAGAGTAAGGTGTCACCAGACCCGGGCTCAGCAGGGAAATGGCCTTCCCTGAAAGATGAAGCCAGGAGGGTGAAGATGGACGTCCTGGGGTCCGTGCACCTGTCCACCTCTTAGCAGCGCCTTGACCCACAGAAGCACTTAAGGGTAGACGCCCCCTTGGGGTGGGTGCCGGCTCCAAGCTGCCCATAGGCGGGTTCCATTTTTAGAGCAGTTGATTGAAATTACGTGTTACTGTGAGGGATGTGCATGGTGAAGGGCTGGTTCTTTCCTTAAATTTTAGCAAGACCCACTAGGATGAATATTGTTTGTACGCTGTCTTATTCAGAGGAACATTTAAGATGACTTAAAATATATGCAAGATGAACAATAGCAAAAATGGGCTCTGGGAAAATAATTTGAGATTTTGCTTATGAGGTTTTTGGAGACTTCGTATTAAAAAAGATCTGGGGCGGGGGGGCGCTCACGAATTCGGCTCTGTACGTCCTCACATTTGCTGCAAAGTGGGGCGGGGGGGCCCTGATCATCTGCCACAGTCTAATGTGGCCGCTTGGGAGAGCACGGCTATTCTGGGCTCTGAAACCTGATGGGCCTCCTCTGACCCTTCCCAGAACACACACAGGTAGTGCTCCCAGGCTCCCGAGATGTTGTCGTTCTCTGCACCCCTTTTTCCTGAGGTACGGGGAAGTCCTCTTCAAGTTTCAGGGCTGATACTTGCTCCTGAAGTGAGACCTGGTCGTTCTGGTGAAGAGTCCACCATCTGATGATGGTTCCTCCTTCTAGACCTCAGGAGGAGCCCACCACCTGGACCGGGTACTTCGGGAAGGTACTCATGGCTTCCACCAGCTACTTGCCCTCCCAAGTAACAGAAATGTTCAACCAGGGCAGAGCCTTTGCCACAGTCCGCCTGCCTTTCTGCGGCCACAAGAACATCTGCTCGCTGGCCACGTGAGTACGGATGGGGTTGCCTCCCATTTGCTGGTGTCCGTCCAGTCGGGAGCCTGCTCGCAAACCCCTGGAGACGGTGGCACAGGGGCCTGGCTAGGTTTCTCCTGGTCCAGAAACAACCCACAAACCTGGGCCTTCGACTTGGGTCAAAGTGGATGTGGAGGGCACTCCCAAGGGCCTCTTCACCGTTACTAGCCTCGAATGATTCGTCTGCTGTGTTCTGATCCAAAGTCTTCCTCTGTTGGTTGGGATGTTTGTAACGATAATGAAAAAACACCATTAAGTCAAGACTGTAGGAGGTTGCCAGTATTTAACCCTTTGGGGCCTACGGAACTGGCTGGTTAACGTAGTCGGAGGCTGGCCGTGCCGCTCCGGAGTAGCCTCAGAACACATGTGGCGCCTCGTGAGCCTCATTGGATTGTCCGAAGTGCAGCCATGCAGGAAAATACGGTCTTGAAAATCCTGTGATTCCATGAATCTTTTTTTTTTTAAGATTTTATTTATTTATTTGACAGAGAGACGGCAAGAGAGGGAACACAAGCAGGGGGAGTGGGAGAGGGAGAAGCAGGCTCCCCGAGGAGCAGGGAGCCCCATGCGGGGCTCGATCCCAGGACCCTGGGACCATGACCTGAGCCGAAGGCAGACGCTTAACGACTGAGCCACCCAGGCGCCCCGATTCCACGAATCTTATAAATGTTATTTTACATCCTTTTTGTGCAGCTGATAACTCAGGTGAAAAAGCTTATGGAAATACCCCCCCCCCCGCCCCTTAGTAATTAGAGAAGCCTTGAAACTGATTTTACTCACACCAGGTACCCCTCAGCCTCGATGCTGCAGCTCGGGCAGCACAGCGGACGCAGTCCTTCTCCTGACCCGTAGACAGTATGTCGAGCGCCGGGAACCAACTCACGTTCACGTGGGCTGGGGGTGCCCAAGGCCAGGCTGCTGGGGTAATCAGAACGTTGTCTGCAGGCTGCGGTCCTAGAACGTGGCTCCTTTTTATTCCCGCTAGAATTCAGAAGATTCCCCGGCTCCTGGTGGGAGCTTCCGACGGCTACTTGTACATGTACAACCTGGACCCGCAGGAGGGAGGCGAGTGCACCCTGATGAAACAGCACAAGTAAGTGGGCCTCTCCCCAGCCGGTTCCTCAAGAGCCGGGGGCGCAAAGGGACGCATCCCGGTGGAGCCGGCCTGTGCTGGGAGGCCTCGCTTCGCCCACACTCCCGCCCTCCCGCGCCTCTGCCGGCGTCCCGTTCACTGTCCGGGCGGGGATTGGACAGGTGGCTGGCACGGGACGAGGGGGACTGAGGCGGCGACCTAGCATGTTGCAAGAAAGGGACGATGCTCTGGTGTCATCCCCAGGGCGGCGCGCGTCCCCGGATCACCTGCCGTCTGGGGGTGACGTGTAGCTCTTCTCTCGGAAAGGAAGGTGGTGGTATTTGTTCATTGGGAAGTAGTGCAGTTTGCTTTTGCTTTTGCTTTTTTAGAACTATCCAGAAATTCTCTAAAAATGATACTATAATACTATAACGGGGTGAAAGGGGGGTGTTTTCTTTATAGTGAATTCTGTTTATGATCCTCAATCTTAAACATGGAAGATCATCTCCGTGGCTGTAACTTCTTCCCAAGTACAAATCTTGGTGAAGCTCCGAGGGAACAGGCTCGCGGGCTGAGCCGACTGCACAGCACGGGGAGCACACACGTGTCCACCTTTAGCAGCCTCTGGCCTTTGCTGCAGCACGTCTGCCCAGGACCCCCAGCGGCCTCAGTGTCTCTGTCTCTCTGCTCCCTCCAGGTTGGATGGCAGCATGGAGACGACCAATGAAATCTTAGACTCAGCCTCTCACGACTGCCCGTTAGTGACCCAGGCCTACGGCACAGCTGTCGCCACAGGTGCTCACGTGCCGCCCTCTCCGACCAGACTTGGTAAGGCTGTGCCGCGAGCCTGGAAGGCACATGATGCCAGGCCCTCCCTCTGCAGTCGCAGCTTGGCGCTTTTCCCCCGAGCAGCGCGGCCCACCTGCCACTTTCCCCCGGACAGGGGACAGGTGGGCTCAGAGGCAAGCTCTTGTCAGCTGGGGATGTCAAGGCTGAATTCATTTTCTTCATTTTTGAAGGAAAAATAGTCATGATGGCTCAGGCTGCTTCGGGCACACGTGAATTGTCCCTGGCTAGCAGCCTCTCGGCTACAGTATCACCCTAAATTCTGACATTGCCAAGCAGATGTCCTTGGTCCTGTGTCATCATTCAGTAAGCACGCGTGGGACCCCCCCCCCTCAGCTCTCGGGCCCTGGGAGGAGGGCATTAAAGGCCTGCTTTCGGGGCCCCTCCTCCTGCGGGAGCTGGGCAGTCATCGTGCAGACAGATGAGGCCACGCAGCCATCCCCCCTCCCCCCACAACCAGCTTGACCTCAGGTAGGCGATCCTGTAGATTTGCTCACACAGCAGACTGCGTGCTCACTGTGACTCAGAGATGAAGCGTCCCTTTCCGTCAGGTGAAGCACTGTCTGGTGTCAAGCATCCGGCATCACCAGTTTGAGAACTATCCCCATCCTCCCTGTTCACTGAAGAAAATTTGTGGCCTGTCCGTCAGGAAGCCCCTATTTACTGTGCAATGTCTTTTTGACACTGATGAATTTTGGAAAATAAAGGACTTCGTCTTGAGCTGCCCAAGGCTGCAAAAAGCTTGTAGTCAGAGACGGATCACAGTTCAGTCTTAGTGTGCACTGCAGCCTGTAGCTGCCGGGCCTTGCCTCCCAGCCTCCCTGCCTCCCAGCCTCCCTGCCTTCCAGCCTGCCTCTCAGCCTCCCTGCCTCCCAGCCTCCCTCTCAGCCTCCCAGCCTCCCTCTCAGCCTCCCTGCCTCTCAGCCCCTGAGCATGGCCGTGCTCTTTGTAGCCTACACAGACGAGCTGGGAGCAGTGGGCGGCACATGTCTGGAAGAGGAGGCCAGCGCTCTGCGGCTGGAGGAGGACAGTGAGCATCCTCCTATGATTCTTCGGACTGACTGAACTTGACCTGTGAACTCTGACCCCTGAAGCAGAGAACACTGGCTTGATGGAGGACTTTGTGTTATGCTGCTATGAACTTTGACCCGAGCTGGAGAGAGGATGGCAGAGACTTAAAAAAAAAAAAAAATTGTAGCTGTAGTCTCATCATTTTCACTTCAGTGGCTTTTAATCCTGCTTAGGAATCTTAGCTTTTTGTTTGTTTTCTCTTTTTGCCAAAATTAACTGTTTGGTGAAGCCCTTGAAACCTTGCTTTGCATGCATTAATGTCACAGCACGGGGAGCACACACGTGTCCACCTTTAGCAGCCTCTGGCCTTTGCTGCAGCACGTCTGCCCAGGACCCCCAACGGCCTCAGTGTCTCT